TTATGGGATTTTAGCGGACGTTCTAATTCATAAATAGTGGACAAATACTGTAACTAGACCGATACCACATATCAATGAAGTATTTCATCTTTACCCAAACAGTTTACTTCTTTGTAGAAAGTTGGTGAAAATCATCGACAAACCATTGATAACATAAGTGTGGCCACAATTACTCTGATAATTTCCACGCATTTCTAACGTTTTCGACACCTCGCGTTGTAGAAGTGTGGCTTACACCTCCGAAACCACGACTCGACGTCAACGTCCGGAGCTGATGACCCTCCTTTCACCGCTGGACGGGCGCGTGATGTGGCCCTGTATTGTAGGCTTCATGAATCTAATATTTCATACACAGAGCTCACCTCGCATTTGCATCCCAATAGCGTCCGTCGCTCTGACCACGGATTCATCTTGGTCCTTTGAACCGGATAATTATCCTGATTGTTCATAGGCCTTTCAATGTTGGGTGCGTTTAGGATGTCTGTTGTAGGTTGATAAAGATTTACTCAACGAACGACAATTACAGGATCTGATTTGACTTGGTTCTTAGATCCGAATAGTTATAACATTCCAATTTCCCCCTAGTCTTCTCTATGTTAAATGACTAGGGAGGAAAATCAAAACAAATCACAGTTTTAAACTGTAAATTATATAAAAAAGGAAATTAATCGCAAATCCGACTTTGATACGACGAATTTTCAAAAAGCAATGTCAAGAAATGCTAGACGTCAATTTAACTGGAACTTTACATTCCCATCACTTTTACTTTTTTCATGGCTGTAAATTCAACCTTCAGTACACATGACCAGGGTGATGTCACGCACTTTTCGACATTATTTTGAATTTCATCACCCATCCCCAATTATAGGTTGCTGGTGGGGTTTTGATTTTTTTATGGGACACTTAGTATAATCACAGAATAAAGAATAAACACTTTTCATTTCGTGATATAATTAAAACCTATCACCCATTAACAACTGTGACATTGAGTAGATGATTAACTTGTGAAACATATCAAAATAGCCCCAAAAGAGCTGAGCTGTCCGGCGTAAACCAATTACATTACGTAAGCCCCAAAACTACGCCGCTTAGAATCCCTACAACTGAGTCCCATGTCAACCATTATTGCATCTATTTTATTAATCAAACCGTCAGAATATTGAAGAAGCCATACGTAATGTGAATAGCACAATTCAGTGATAATATTTAGTTTATTTCTAACCTTTTGAGTAGTTAACCACCTATATAGTAATAATAATAATCATTGAGAGATGTCTCCAATTTGGAGATCTCACTCAGCTATTTAGTTGGTCATCAGGTTTTACGTTTGACTTATCTACCGTAAAACACGTGTTGGTGACGTTAGAGTGCTCTGATGTCGACGAATGTTTTCTTTTCCTAAGTAGAACTCTGCTTCTACTTTTCGGTCATAATACCGTAGCACAATCATCAGTAATTGATCATTTTATTTTACAAAACGAATTTCTATTATCAACTAGTCAGGTTTTAATATACTAAGACGAATAATAGTCAACAAAATGTAATTTTCCCTGTAGACGATAAACAAGGAGTATATATGTGACCTGGGCTAACTTCTACAAATATCCTCTTCTACATTTTTTTGCAAAACTGAAAAAACTACTTGTAGTAAAAACCCCAGGTTTCTGTTTCATTGCCGCCATTGAAATCTTCCCATTTTGTCAGGGAACTACCCCTTTAGAAAGCGCCATGATAACCAGATGACAAAAATGTTATCCACATAAAGTAACTTGGAATCGAACCGGTAAACTTCAGATTTGATTGTAATCTCTTTAACCACTCCACTACCTACGCAATAATTATGATGAAACTTAGTTGTAATTGAAATGTTAGTTGTATATTAATAAAGCCACACTATTTATTTGTTAGGAAGATGAATTATTCCGAAAAATCTCTAACTTCATGAAATTCCTTTTGTATTAGTAGGCCTAGGGACTTTTAGGAATATTAGTAATATTCCTGGACCTGGGAATCTATAAAATATAATTTTGGAATATCCCTAACCATAACCAACTTCGGGAATGTATTTTTATTGGTAGGGACATTTGGTACCACTCTTGCGGATCTTTTGAAGTCATAGCTTACTTAAATTAAATACTGTAAATAGTTCAAATTCATACAGCCAAGCAGTTTTAAATCAATCTTATTTTATAAAAGAAAAATACAACTCACAGTACACGGTTGACGTCGCGCTGGTGCCAGGTGTGTATTATAACCGTTTGTTGCCATCGGAAACCATTTACTCCGACAATCAGCTGTTTTATATTCCGGTTATTTTGTTTCTGGGGTGTTACCGTCACCTGTGCCATAGTAAACTAAAGTTACATCGATGCAATACGTTTTCTGTCCACTGAGTTGTGATGGGGTCGTTGTGCTTTTATGTCGTTTTGCTTGCCTAGTTTGTCACAGTGTTTGTTCCGAATTTAATTTATTATTAACTTGGATTTTAAATTATTTTTGTTTTATTTGTTTTGAGCTTTTATGTTGTCATGCTCTTCTGTAAGCCTATTTTGGTTTAATTTTGTTTTAATATATGTTAGTGGATTTAAAATTACTTCTTGCACTGATTAAAAACCCGGGTATTTTATAAGAGGGAAAGCCACTTTTTAAAGTGTGCAATAACCACAGTTTGGGTTAGTTTATGGCCTTTACTCACACGTTTTTCTTTTTTACTGAACAGAAATAATCACAAAACTAAAAAACCACCCTAAACTGTGTTTTTTACAGTTTAAATAGTGGTGGCCCTTTTCTAAAGAAGACTCTAAATCGAGTAATTTGTTTTGAAACGTTCTTACTGGTAATTTTGTGGAATTTGATTCGTAGCTCTACCAGTTAAGTGAAACCAAACTATACACAAGAGGTGTTGTCTAGTGGTTGCCTTTGTGCCAGAGGTACACAAGTTCGATCCCCAGCATATACAAATAGATTTCAAAGGTTCAAACAGCGTTCGCATTATGTTTAGCGTGTGTGATTCCTAAATTCAGATGGCTCTCGTGTAGACTCCAATTAAGAAAAATCTCTCCAATTAGACTCCAGTTAAGAAACGAATGAACTATGAACGCAAGAAGACCTTTATATCTAAGATAAACTTGGTCCTCTTAAAAGTCGATAAAATCTAACTTTGCAATTGTGATAGCTTAAACTGTGACTGTAATCACATCTTGAACTAACGTGTTGCGTGCGATTTAATATTTCTCTTGAATTGAGACATCATTGATCACAATGAAAATTGTCTTCAAGTCTATTATTTTGTGGCTCAACCAACTTGGAGCTATATCAAATACACGTAACTCAAATGTCATCAAATATGTATGGTATGTGCCAATACTGTATAAGTGTACTGAGGCTTTATTAAAAATAAACATTACACCACTTCTACTTAGTTTTGATATTTATTTTATATCTTCCAAAACCATTCACCATCCATCCGTTGGTCCCACTCTGATTACCGTAGGTATTTTTATATCTTCTTTATTCTTCAAGGTTCTAAAATCCTCATCTCTATTTTATGAGTATACGTTACTATTTCCTAACTGATTCTCATTATGACTAGCTAAAGCTAAGTAGTGTCAGAGCATTATTTTCATGTTATCATTACCTCAGTCAGGCTGCCGAGCCAAACATTCCGTTGAACACTTTACACCAAAGCCACGGCCAAACTTTACATAGTCCGAAGGAAACTGCCAAATGACATTGACATTGCTTGGTTCCACTACTTTTGGCTCTCACTCCCACGTATTGGCTAAAATTAACTGGCCAGATTTGACGTTGGTATTCAGACTACAGGGTAAACAGTTTTATAGTATGGTAAACTACAATTTAAAAGTTGGTGCTGTTTATTTAACATTGACCATAATTGTACACAATGTTTTTCTTATAACGAACTTTTTCCCAGTAACATGTGTTACAATATTTTGTTTAGTTATTAAAATTGGTAAAACATATTATGTTATTTAAAATGTAAATAAATCAGTTTCTTGTTCTCTTGCAGTCTTTTAAAGTGTGTTAACTTTTCCCTCTCATATATTCTTTCAATTTAAATATATCCATTTCTCAATGTTTTGCCTCTCTGATCCTTCGAACTACTTATCAACACTCTCTATTTCATGCCATTCTGTTTTCTCAATCATTATCTAATAACCTTTGGTTCCCATCAGTCAAATATCAACACTTCTCTACAATTCATTCAGATGCATCTCTGCTTAAAAAGTAAGTATTTGGTATATTTATCAAGTTTAGCAACAATTGTACAGTATTTTATTTGCTACACTCTTATTTAAATAGGATAAAATACTAGGGGGCTTGCAAACTAGAACTGCTAAATAGCTTTTAGTGGGTCATAATGTAAAACAAAAATATTCAAATATGCAAATGTTCAAATGATGTATAGATCTGCAACAACATAACGTAATGCTCGTGTAAATGGTATAAGTTTTAATCTTTAAGCAGTCTTCAATGATCCATTTATTCCACTAATGCATAGTGGAATATTTAAAAATGTTTATAAAACATGAATAAAGAGCAAAACATGTTCGAAGGCTGGCTTATTACAAATTGATCTGTTATGAGCTTTTTTTCATTCCAACGGCTGTAATAATGCTCCATTATTAATGTATTAATGTCCTTTTATTAAGGTTGCTGTCAAAAAATACTGTATTTAGTACTTATTACTGTGCAAATTATATTTCCACTGAAATTACCTTGCATAGAGTATACTGCATGATAAGGATGGATATTTTACTTATTCCTAAAGTATGGAAAAAATTTGTGATTTTAGAAAAAAATCAAGAACCATAAAAGTTTAACACAAACCGTGAATGTGATTGCAATTACACTAAAAATAAATCAGGACAGAAATTTTTTTTAAACAAATTTCATTATTCACCTCGTAAAAGAACCCATTTCAGCCATTTGACAAACAAATTTAAATGAACAAAGGAAAGGTCGATAGAAACACCAAATTAAAAAAAAATCATGGTTTATTCACCATTATAATATTTCATAATGTATAAACAAAACTACAATACAAAATGTACAATCTTACAATAATATAACTATTTATATATATAAAGTGAATATTATACACGGGCCGTTTTACAAATAAGTAGGATCGAGCGAGAAATAAACTTTGTTTTTACAAATCTTCATATGTGCAAAAATATTGCTACTCCGACAAAACTACACTAGAAAGAAGCGAAAGAAACCCGGCTTGATGCCGTTAAGGCGTTGACTACCGTGGCACGACTAGCCTAGGCTAAGTACGGATGAAAGAATCGGGGTCCGGGGATCGTCCGGTGGAGATTTCAAGCGACTAGACATCGCCGGCTACAATGGCTGGGACACAGTGTGACTCTCAACTCAAACTGGCGGGAAAGTAATGTAGAAACGGAGGGAAATGACGATGAACAGCTGTATAGACACCTCTAGTTCGAAGCTACGAGTCTAGTGGGTAACGGTATTGCACTAGGATAGGATAAGTCTAAAAACACGTACCGAATGTCGGCCCACCCCTATGTCGACGATACACTTATTTAGCTTATGTACAAAAATAATCTTTTAGGAATAATTTGAACAATTCACCGAAGTGTTTAGGCTATGTCAGTTTCTCCATTCCTCGATATTTGGTAAACATATCACAAAGTAACTCAATTTGGAAGACGTGTAAATAAATAAAATGTCCGTCAGTAGTCGCTTGGTAGTTGGCAGAACTGTCGGGTAAGGCTGGTAAACAGGAACAAACCGTGATTTGCCATACAAGCCGTTTTATAGAACTTATAATGTACATATAAACAAGTTAAGCGTGAACGGATTACAAGCTTAGAGAACAAGAAGGACAGAAGAGTCGTTCATAGACGAGTTCGTACAAGTTAGGCCAAATGCTAGATTGTAATGTGATCTACACAAGAACAGCGAATAACAGCGATTTATTAAAGAACTGAGTAAAAAGAACTGCTTAACATAAATGTTAAATATCCCGAAAGTATTCGCCAAAGGGGGCATGAAAACAAATAGGTTTGCAAACATAACTTTAAGTAGAGGGAGTCCTAGAAAAAGCGGAAAACTATTATTACGAATATGCATTATTTAACAATCAATAATACTGAGCAGTTTTGATGTGCACATAATATTAACATTTTTTACAAATCATACTATAAACAGCTTTACAATGAAAATAGCTGGTACGATTGAGAAAATATTGAAATTAAAACTAATAAACCATACAATTTAAATAAGGAACAGCCTGAAAATCACACTGCTACGAAAGTATTACTTTGTTAACCAAATGTTCCCGACAGAAAAAGAAATTTGTTAAGACATCGAAAAAGCGAAAGCATTAAAACACATTATCTTGAAACTTAAGTCAGTCCAGTAACTATCTAAAATGCCCCCTAACTTAAAATGCGATCTATAATTATCATATTGACTGCCCTTGAAAATTATTGGTCGGTTACTGAAAATGTGTATCACAGCCTGACATATTATTCCTGGGCCTTAAATAGCGTAAATTGATTGGCAATTTTAAGGAAACATATTAACGATTACCGGGATAACTCCTTGCCACATTACATCTACAGCAAAAAAGGCAATAGCATACAATTTGAAAATACATATCGCATACGCTGTACAAAAAGTCAACAATTAGTCAGTTTTAAAAACAAATGCATAGAGTCGATGACTCTTACAACTACATACAAATGTAAAGATCTACTGCACATTTATCGAGTACTATGTAAACAATTTTAAAACGACTTACAGTAAAGAAGGATCTCAAATGACACATTCGAGCCTTTAGACATAATAAGGCCCAGACAATAAGACTTGAGATCAATGCTCCAGGGAGCTGTGCCTATAGTAAACTGTGGCGAAACACGGACTTAATTCGGACGCAGCTGTTCCTCTCGTATAACTAAACTTAACTAGATTATTTTACACATAAAAATAATAACATCGAATCTTACTGCTGCCGCGAGTTCGGAGTGGCCAGTTACGCAAACTATCTCTAGACGAAAAGCCTAACAGAAATCGTGACACACATCCCACGTTCAGTCGACATCGAATAACAAGTCTGTTTCAACAGTTGATGAGATCCGCGAATGTAGTCTCCTCTGCCCAGCCGCTGTTGACGCCGATGGTACACAACATGTCGGACACGTCGGGCGCGCAGGAGAACTCGAAGTGGGACCCGGAGCTGGAGCTGGTCGTGTCGAACGTGTCGATGTCCGTGGTCAGAGTGTCCAGGTCCACCTTGAAGTCCGAGGGTATCTGCAGCAGGTCCGTCAGAGAGTCCAGGTCCGCGAGACTGGGGTTGTCTCCGGTGTGTCCCGTGGCCGCCAGCTCTGACTCGCAGTCCATGGGCTCCTGCTTTATCAGGAACGTCTCTTGCAGCGGGTCGGGTTTGATGAGGAACTCCTGAGTCATATCCTCCGGCTCGGATTTAATGGTAATTACGGGTCCTAGGGTGAGTTCCGTGAACTCGGCGTTCATCGGAGGCAAAACTCTTCTTTCTAACACTTTGATTTTCCTCATCTCCGGTTCCCTCTCGTCGTAGAAGGTGGCTGACTCGGGCGAGTCCGGTGTGTCGCACGACGGACTGCTCGGCACCTTGGCGTGCACCGTGGGCGGCGACGTCGTGAACTGACGACCGTGACTCTGCCGCATGCTGTCTTTCAGCTTGCGGTCTATGGTCAGTCGGACCTTCAGTTTGCTGTGGTTTACAGGACTCAGCGTGCTAGTCTGGATGATTCCGTTGCGCCTGATCAATGTCTCCGTTTTCTTCACTTCGTTGTGGGAGTTGTTGTTGGTATCGTTTCTCTCGATGGCGACTTGATGAGGGGAAGACTTCTTGGGCTTCTTCGGCCTGGACGGGGAGACCTTGGGAGCGGGTTTGACAGTCTTCTTCCTAGGTCTGTATTTGTAGTCGGGGTACTCTTGCAAGTGCATCAGCCTTAGTCTCTCAGCCTCCTCGATGAACGGTTGTCTCTCCTCCTCCGATAGCATCTTCCACCGCCTCCCCAGCCTCTTGGAGATCTCGGCGTTGTGCATGTCGGGCTGGAGTTCACAGATCTTGCGACGCTCGATCTGCGACCACACCATGAACGCGTTCATCGGTCGCTTGATGTGGTTAGGGTTGTTCTTCTTAGTCTGAAACAGAAAAAAAAACTTGTTAGAAACTATAACAAGAATCCCAGTAAAATTACTAGAATATATTTCATTTAGTAATTGTTTCCCATTTTTATTAGTACACGAAAAAACACAGGAAACAGTTGAAAATGACCAATGCGGTAAATCTAAAATCCGGGCCACGCATCAGAATTAAACGCGTCTAAGCTCGAACAATTATAGAAATTACCTAATGGAATAATTGGCCGATCTCCACGTAACATTACCAAGTAATCATAGCGTTAACGAAGGCAGTGTTTTACATCGCATGTGGGTTTGAACAGCTGTTTGAAATGCGGGCTTATACTTCCCTATGTTTCAAGGCCGGCAGCTGGCGAAGGCTGGCAAGGCCAAGCCGATAATTTGTAAGCCGTCACCCGTGCAAAAACTACTTGCCAAAACTCGTTATACATACATTAGCGTTATTACGGCCAACATCTGACACTGGGCTATAAATACTCTACCTCCGTCGGTTAAGTTAGAAGATGCAACACACTGCAATGTCCGCGTACAATATACTTTACGAGCTGCACTCTCCGCAGTAATGCTTATTTACTGGGCCGTTCGTTCTGTGACAAGACATTTACTGAGAGTAGTTTCAAATTGTACGTGCGACACACAGTAGCAGTAGTGACACGTAAACCTTACTTTTGCGTCTGTTACTTTGATGTTGACGTAAATTGTTGAAAGTGTTTAAATTCTGATACGTGTGTGAAAATTGGGTCGAACTTACATTGATAGTTACGGCGTAGCTATAAAAACATTCTTTACAAATTGAGAAAGATATAGGTATTTAAAAATTATGAAGTTTTGTGTGTCCTTGAAGGTGTTGACGTAAGTGTGCAACACATTTCGGTATAAATTGTTACAAATGCTCGAAACTTCTCTTGGGACTGATAATGACAGAAATATGTACGAAAGCGAAATCTTTACACTGTATTCTCTTGGCTCATGTGAACATTGTAACGAAATTGCGCTAATCAATTCAATTATTGATTAATTAATTCAGTTTCCCTCTGGCCTGGGATATATTGATTGCCTTTGGCAAATCATATCTTACAAATGAAGAGGGCTTTGAAACCAATGTTTCGTTCCCAACGATCCACTCATTTACATAAACAACCATAATCATAAGGGCAGTAATAAAACACGAACTAGTGCTCCAGGAAAAACCTTGCGGGTAGGCATTGATGGGTCTTAAACAATGAAACAAGTCATTCTTCTATCATAAGGAAATAGTTAATCTTGAACTTTTCAGCGAGTTGCAACCGAGCCTATAAAGTAAGTTTAATAGCGGTTTTACAACCCACAACACTGCAACTACTCTCCAGCGCTCAACTCGGTATTCAATTTCGATTTGTCAATCCCGTTCCGTTACGGGAGTGTTTCGAAAGGATAATTGAATTTTAAAACCAAGTCGGAAGGCCAATGAGGTAGTTCACAATCGTAAACTGCGACCGATTGCGAGAGAGCTTTCAAACGGAACATCGATGCATCTGCATTTCATCAGTGACACGTTTACAACGCTGTGAGAAAATGAAATTATAAATGACAATCATTTATGTAATTGTAACTAGAATGTAAACTATCTTAGCCCTTGAAGATTTGTTGTACATCAGGAGAAAGCATGCAAAGTGAAGAGCAAAATATTGTGAGGAAATTAAAATATTATAAATATTTTGAAATCGGCTGAAATGAATTTTGCTACGAACATTCTCAAAATGGAACTGATGCGATGTGATAGAAAACGAGGAAAAGTACAAGGTCAAAAGACAAACTTTCTATGGAAACTAGTCTAGTCTTCGTGATGAGGGTATAGATTGTAACTAGACGTCCTTCAGCACATTTCCTGGACTTCAAGGAGGCTGAAGTTACAGAACCTTACAATGCACATAAGACAATATGTATATTCAAAATGTTTTAACGATAATTAACTTAAATAGAAAGGTAGTTTTTTGTAAGTTATGCTCATTGCACAATATAAACAGGGGAAGCACTCTATTGGCCGAATTACCTGATTCACCGATTCAACAAACTTCACTTGCTACCCTTCGTGAATCATTCTTTTTCCCCGTGACTGTTTCGCGTTTTTCTCACTGACTAAGTTCCATCATTACTTTAGTAATTTCAACTGAAGAATACTACATTTATACAACCGTTCCATTGAATTCGATTATTCAATTAGTTTCTTGAAAATAGCGACACACAAGCTTTATAGGCTAATAAAGTTTAATATGAATCTAAGATTACTGTACAAGAGTGAGATGATCTGTGTAGAACCAAAGATTTTACTTACGATCGAACTTGCAAGCTATCGAGAATGTTCGGTAGAACCTCTATTTAACCGTTTAGAGGTGTTTTACCTATATTTAGCTATTCGTTTAACTTAAAATGTGAAACTCTACTACATCAAACCTGAAAACCTAATTTTTTACACACTTCGAATCTGAAAATCCCATTTTTTTACACCTCTCAAACCTGAAAACCCCATTTTGAACACACCTCAAACCTGAAAACTCCCACACCTCAAATCTGAAACAAAATGTTAACACTTGTCAACACTCACCGAGCTTGTTAATAAAGTTGGACAAGTTTGGCGTTTGTTTAGGGAAATAATCCCTCACACGATTCCTTGTTTTGACAGCGCTGGCATCGGCTCCACGGAAATCCCAAGTGGTAATAATAAACTTGTATAAATAAACGTGGATGAGAGCTGCTGGTAACCTTCTGGCTGATCGTCAACTAATGTTTGACGCAGTTGAGGAATGCTCAGTTCTCGACCTCCTCTGAGATGACGTTTATGTTTCTCGTCCTCTTCCGACCAATTGCGATATTAACGGAGTCCTCAGGGAGTGTTCACGACTGTTTATATCAAGTTGTCACATCACCTGCGTTTTACCATGTTTATTGCTCTGGGATGCAGTGGATATGAATTATTTATTTGGATGTAAACGCGGAGATAACGCTTTTGAGGTTGCTATACACGTGTAATAGAGTTGTAGCCTACTTTAGGTTTGCGCTTGATTAAAAGTGAAATGATATTTGTGTTAATTGGTTGGATGCTTGAGGGAAAATTTTAGTTTTTTTCTAATGTAGCTAGGGAGTTTGTTTCGACAATCACTCATAACATTTGGAGTATTAGCGAATATATTCTACTGTAATTTCAGACAACTACACAATACTTTCTGCATATAGACTTACTGGACTATCAAAATTACTACTGAATCAGACTTTCTGGGTTAACATTGACTATATAAAACCTAGGTAAAAACGAAAGTTTTTTTATACTCAGACCGGAGATGTTGTATTCTCGTTACTCCAAAGTTTCTCTATAAGCAACAGATTATATTCGCACAAATGTCGATATAATATGTGGTATATTTTGCGGCAAAATATCGATTCTAAATACGAACATCGGGTTAAACTTAACGAGATATTGCAAACGCCATCAACTTCAGAGAAGTTAAACAGAGTTTACACTGCATCATTTACAAACAGAAATAAAATTTTTAGATGCGAATTTTCTCACACACAAAATATAGGTCGATAACCAAACCAAAACATGCAGACAAAAATTTAAACGGAAATGACTTGGTTAAAACAATCTAATCTTTATCAAGAGGATGCTGATATAAACAGTGGGAGAACGCAACATAAGATTGAGCAATTCTCATTCCATATAACTGAGAAAGGTATAAACCCGTACAATCACGTTTAACCTTCTCAGTGGCTGTAATCTAGGGGCTAATGCCACATTGAGAAATGAAATCAACCAACACGCAACAAAGTGCAACATGTCAACCTAATAAGAAAGCAATAAACCAACCATCAGATAAGCATTTCGTGATCAACGTACCAACAGACCAGCTGTGGCACGCAATCGCAACTACAACACTGTAGGGCCACTTCCGGGGGTCTAGGGGGTAGGGGAAAATATAAATTAAATTAGTTGTGCACGGGAACCATCATAAGAATGGACAGTAAAAATCAAATGTTTTTTATAGGCTAGGGACAAGTTTGTTTGTGAGTCAGAAACAAGCTACGCAAGGCATCTCACTCCATTCAACAGTCTTCCTGCGCTCAAATGCCAAGTATTTTTTTGGTAGGCTACAACAGACGAACCACTGCACATCGTTAGCGGTTCATCATAAGAGCAGCAATAAAACACGAACTAGTGCTCCAGGAAAAACCTCCTAAAAAAATGTCCTATCTATTAACCAGGTGTTGGGGTTTGAAGGGGTATTCAATCACAGTAATTAAAAGGCACGATAGTTCTGATTGGTAAATACGTTGATTAGCAGTACAGTTTTGATTTCAACGTGCGAAGTATCAAATGAGAATTATCTAAAGAGCCGACGTAATTATAGGTTAACAATAAACAGTACTAGGAAATGAACTGATAACTAACATTCTGATCCATGTGAATTTGCCATTTGGATGTATAATAATGTGGCAAACAATAAAATTGTTTTTAGGCAATGCCATCAGCGTAGAATAACCTAGGGGTAACACAACAGTTTGATAAAATATTGGGAAAAACATGATCTCGCACATAGGCGTCCCCTTATATTTTTGGGGGGCACGCGCACAACATAGCAATACAAAGTCTAAAAATAAGCTAAAATAGTGTATTTTCATAGAAATTCCCAAAAGTTGGTGGGAGCAGCCGACGATCTCGCACAATTTCAAAAAATTACCAAATTAGGTAGTGAGTCCTTTTTTACCATCTCAGCATCCGACCCCGGGGAATTCAACGTGAATTTCCACCACTTCCAAGAAATGATAACTGTAAACTCGTGAACCGTATGGTTTATCGTCGAAGGTCGCTGAAACCGTTACGTTTATCTGTGATCACAAAAAGTAGAATCAGAGGGGCGGAAGCGCAGGCGGACATGCATGTAGGGTGGCGTGCGCGATCCTGCATGGTCGACCAATTAAACGATGCTATCGTGTCGTTGGTCGTTTGTGTCGTTAATGTCGTT